GAAAGGCAGAGCAAAAAGAGGTGGTGTCGGTTATTTATTTGTCTGTCTGTTGAGATTCGTGAGGAGAAAAGCAGCGCCACGCAAGGGCAGAGCGGTCGGAGGGGCTGAAGAGGGGACAGCGCTGTGCTGCTCGCTTTGCCGGCTTCCAATAAACGAAAAAATAAATCTAATCCTTTTGTTATAAACTATGGTAAGGCTGGATTCGATGATCTTTGAGGTCTTTTCCCAATTTGGTGGATTTTAGGATTTTATGAAATATTAACAGCTCAATTGTGCTCACCCTGATTATCCAGCAGATTTATTTATCACTGTTAGGGTCCTTGCGAGGGATGGACTACAGAACACTATTATGATGCTCTGATAGCATTTAGGGCACCAACAGTATTTATAGTAAAATGTCTCCCGTCCATGCAGTCACACACTGATCACACAACTTTAGATTGGTTGCTCAACCTGTCAGTGCATACAGTTCTTACTTATGATAGGTTACAAGTTTAAGCTGCATCCACTCTCACATCCTGGGAAACTGATAACAAGAGCTACACAGTGTCCATGAGAACCTAAACAACAGCACTATTCTCAGCTTGTTAGCAAGAGGACTTATCTATAAAGCAGAAAAACCAAAACCAAACCTAAAAACCCTGGCAGCAGGAGAGAACAAGACCATTATAAGATGTTGGATTGAAGACACAGGAGTGCATGAAGATAGAAACAAGGTCAGCAAGACCTATTTTGTGTGTCTTGTTTTTAATTGCTTAAGAATTCCTTTAACTGTTGCTCGGGTTACAGCTCCTCTGCCAGCCAGGCCCCAACAATCAGCAGCAAGACCAGCACTTCCAGTCCAGCAGCAGCTGACAACACAGTGATTACAGCCTGTTCTACTTGAATCACCATCGGGGTAAACATTAAGCGGCTTGTTGTCTTCAAATAAAAGAAGCAAAGTATTCTTAGAATTTTGCACTTTGTACCAAAAGCCCAATGCAAAAAAAAAATCCCATTTCCTCACTCAGCCTGACCTGACAGTGAATTAAGGAGGAGCAGGAAGTGGCTGCTGGAAACAGCTTTACAGGGACTCAGAGTTACTGTTCTTTGTGTATACAAATGACAGCTGAGGGAGTAATTAATGAATTTCCCTGGGGAAAAAAGCAGCACTATGTCAAGTAACCTGCAACCTAAACCCAGAGTGTAAGACACGAGATTTCCCTGTTGCTCCCGAGTGCACAGCTCCCGGTACACCCCAGTGCTCGTACCCACTCCCTCCCACCAAGCACTTGGGCTGTCTCCTGCTCGGCCCTCCCTTCCACATGCAAGGACGTGCTGCCCTGCCCTGGGTCCCTTTTGGGCCAGAGGCCCCAGACAGCTCTGCCTCCACCCCAGGGCACTCCTCTCCCTCTCTGCTCTCTGCCTCCCTCTATCCTAGGGCTCCAACAAAACTACACCTCAACTTTCTTCCCCGCAGACTGCGTGTCTCCTCCTGGCGACTTGCCCTTTCATCTTCCTCATCTCTATCTTTCCCTCTCCTTTTATTCCAGGTAACAGTGTTGTTTAACATATTTTTTCTATCATTTGATCATAACATTCCTGGCAGTGTATTTTCCCAATTTCACTTTGTTCCCCCACTTCCTTCACTCCTCATCCGAAACATTAGGTACCATTTTCTCACTCAAAAACTTTCTTTGTAAGATGTAAAACACCAAACACCACAAGCTTAGTCAGTAAGCAGAAGTCACTGAAATGACTACTCAAACTCGTCAAACACTTACTTGGGAATTACTTTATTAAAAATAAAAATACATTGAAGCAAAGTCTGAAGTCATTTTTAGAAATAAAGATATTTTCAGCATTCAGAAATAGCCATCCATGTATATAAACATACATTTTTCAACAAGGCATTTGAGATGCTTCCTTTGCTAAAAAAAGAAAAGAGAGGGGGAGGATACATTTACAAACACAAACCAAATCTGCTACCATTTCACTTACAGTTTGCCAAAGATGGCAACACACTTGTAAACCCACAAAGACTTCATTGCTGTTATGCTATTGTTTAGCTACCTTCATGGCATCCTGTGAAAATTTCAGTGCATCTGGAAGGCATGAAAGGCAGGGCTTTATTGCAATCCCAACAGCATCTTGCATTCTGCATTCTGGCAGACATCGATGAGGTCGAACCTTCACATCAGAATTTTTGGCTTGTCGCACAATGCAGCATTTGATTACAGGTATCACCAAACCCCACATTTCCCAAGTACCACTTGTAGAAGCACAATTTTCTAAGGATAGTTTTCAAAGGTGACATTTGAAACTAAACCCAGCAGGCGAAACAAGCACAAATATGAGCAATTTCACATAGTAGGGGATTATGTGAAATGTGTCTTTGGAATCTGACAAAAGCCCAGAAACTAAAGTGCTTTTCAAATGTGTCCTCACTGATTACAAGGACAGGTATTTTGTGTAAGTGATCACACCAACATCATTATGTTGCCTAAAGAGGCATTTCAACAGAAAGATAAATATTATCAGCACTTAATTTTAGCTTCTCAATTAAGCATATACTATTTGAAGGATTTCCAGACAAAAATCCCAACTGTACAGAATCTATTTATTCACTGAAAAATACAAAGTTAAAGAAATAAGTGCTTTGTTCTGCAATACTGTCAGCTTTTAGTGTGAGTTTACTAGCATTGGTACCAAAGTCAACTTTTTATTGTGCTAAGTTTTCAAAAACTTCACACAAAGAAAAGATTTAACACAAGCCTATGAAGCCCAAAGTTTGCCTATACAAGAACTGAAAGTTCTCACACAAACAGTGGGATACCTCACCCACCAAATATGTCATTCAGAAATTAAGGCACTCTGTTATTCAAAACAGGTAACAGAAAACCTTAATTTAAATCCAAAATAACTATATTACAGTCTCTGTTAGGCACTACCTGGCTTTTAAAACTTCAAGTTTAAAAGTGACACAACCAGACATCAATTTAAAGCTGAAAAGTTGACTCTTCTTTTACAATTTAGGTTTTGTTTCTGCTGTGGAATACCCAATTCTAACTTACAGGCAAATTCACATTCCAGTCTTGTAAACCTGACATTAGGAGAACTCTTAGTATTCCCTAGATTTCCAGTGAGGGGAAAAGTGTTTAAAAGAGTATACAAGAACTTGATTCATGTGATACGAAATTCTGCTAAATCAAAAGGAGTATAAAGAGATTTAAGAATGGTTAAGAACAATTATTTAAAGGTTAGATGTTACATATTCCCCAAAAGATCACTTTCCATGCTTGAGAGATCTTTCAAGTGTAAGGCAAGACTGAGTGCCACCTTCCAAAACACCTCACATGAGGTTTCCTTGGCAATTGGTTTGATAGAGGTTAACAGCACTAAAATTCTGCATGTGACAAGAGTAAGATACTGATACACTAATCTCATATGAACTACAGGTATTTTTACTCCATATGGAAGATAACACAGAGAAAGCCATTATAGTCAAACCTCAGGTTTGTCAGATTTCTCCTATTCCGTGGTAAATGTGTAAGAGCTTCACCCGTAATGCCATAGTGATGTCATATCTGGACTGCAGTTCCCAAAGCCAAAGAGGCTGGGGCAGTGCTGTCCCCCCTGCCACAAATGAAAAACCTGAGTGCAAGCCCTGACTTCAGGATTACACACGTAGAGCTTTCCCTAATAAGCAGCTGTTGGTCTTGTCCAGACCACAGCTACCACTGCTGTGGGGAAAACAGCGAACGCAAAGAGACAGCACAGATGTCATCTTGAATATCTGCTTGGCACCAGAGAAAAGAGACTTCTGCTGTTTCTTGTTAGAGAAATCTGCTCTCATTTATATTCTGAGGTAAAGCATCTGCATCCAGATGCTACACACTCATTTCATGTTGAGAATATGGCACGTTCAAGGATTCATCTGGCCTCCAAGCCTGAGTTTTCAGAGTCGGTACCTGCTTCTTCATAACGAGCCCTGATAGTCAAGAATGTTGGGATCCTGGAATCCAGACTGATTCATTGCAATCTACACCTATGAGTTACTTGCAAGAAAGAATCCTCCAAGGTTAAAAGAAGTGTCATTTAGTAATTTCCAAAAAGCATATGTCATCATTTAAGCTCAGTTACAATGTTTCTTTGCACAGAAAATGCTAACACCCTCTCATTCATTAATCCTTTTCATATTACGTGATGTCCTTCACTCCTTTGGCAAATTAAATGTTTACATGCTGCTTTTGCAATTTTTTACAACTATTGTTTGCTAAAGCATTAACAGATGTTTTGGACCGTTCTCCCATAATTAACATTTGACAAACTGACAGCAACAGCTTATAGACAGGGGTTAAACCCAGCAAGTTTTAATATCAAATTGAAAACTATGCTGTCAGATCATTTGTGGAATGCAACAGCTGACAAGAAAAAAAATTAAATCTCCTTCCAGAAGTCTAAATGGATCATTCTCACTGACTATGAAAGCCTGTGCAGTTGGTGGGTGCTTTTTTTCTGGAAAGAAAGAAACAAAATCAGCAG